CTTTGAAGTGTATCTAAGGGAAGGGACTGTGTGTGTATTGTTGCTATCCAGCTGCATGCAGAACCCCGGGCCTGAAGCTTTCCAAACATCACACAGATTCCCCACAAGATGGAGGAGGAACTGACCAGGGTCCCCGAGTCCAGTCGAGGCAGAGCCAAGGGGTGACTCCTCCATAGCTGGTTCTTCCGTGGCTTGCCCACTCACCGCAAGCAAGAGAGCCATAGTCAGATGAGGGCTGAGCTCAGGCCTTGGGGATTCTGAGGCCGTCACCTGCCCAGGCTCCTGCTTTCTGCATTGTCTGGTTCTGTTTCTCCTAGGACACTAGCTGAAGAAGGCTCTGCAGAGTCAGGGACACCTGGCAGGGTCCCAAGCAAGGAAAACTGACAGGAACCACACCTTCTTCTTGGTTTGTTCATGACAAACCAAGACACACACAGAGTCTTGGTTTGTTCATGACAAAGTGAGAGGGGACCGTGGCCTGAGAAGAGACCTGAGAACACTTGACACACCGGCGGCCATACTGGCCCGGGGAATGTCTTAGCATCCTTGTTTGGGAGAACAATATCCTTGCTTCATGGAGGGGTGAAGAGAGAAGCTATCCTCGGGAGGGACCCTGTCCTGTTCCTGGGTGTTCCTCTTCAGGGCTAAGTGCGACAGCTAGATATATGCCTTATGCACCCACAAGTTTAACTCAACAGTGTCCTGGGCACTCTCCAGTGACGCCAGACAGACTTGTAATTCTATGAATTGTGGATGGTGACCTAATGAAGAGGGACTCTTCAGGACAGGGGATAGCTGGGATGCTATTCAGCAGCTGAGTCGGCCAGGCTAGGGGCCTCAGCAGCACCTACATCTCTCTTCCCTGCTTTCTGTCATTTTTTATGACCCCTCAGTTCCCTTGCTGACCTGGAGTTTGCTTAACCTCCATAAAACATGTTTCCTGGGGCCTCATTAGTACTGGGGTATATCCCCTGGCTCCCTATTTGTCATGTGAATGTCATCCTCAGGGTCCGTGACTGAGTCCTGCAGTGCTAGGCATTCAGGGGGTGCTGGGAGTCAAGGTCCTGATCCCTCTTCTTAGGGGTACAGTGGTGAACCACAGCCTGGGTGTCTCTTTCTGTATGCTGTCTAGTTAAGGGAAGACACTGGAGGCCAGACAGCACAGACAGACAGACTGTGCAGAGCTGTGCCGACCCAAATGCAGCTTGTTCGTAGGAGCGATGGCTCTAGAGACACTACCCTGTGCTCCAAAAGAAGTGCCCAGAAAGCTGGGCGGTGGTGGCGCATGCCTTTCATCCCAGCACTTGGGAGACAGAGGCAGGTGGATCTCTGTGAGTTCGAGGCTAGCCTGGTCTACAGAGCTAGTTTCAGGACAGGTACCAAAGCTATAGAGAAACCCTGTCTCGAAAAAACAAAAAACAAAAACAAAAACAGTGCCCAGTGTCTGGCTAGAGAACAGGACTCCTTAGTGAGCATCCAGCCTGGTTTGGAGAGCTTCTTAGTGTGTATCTCGTCACCTATTTCCTCTTTCTGAAGAACCCAGGGCAAGCCACTATCTGTCGCCAAGAAGTTGAGGTAACCGGCCACTCAGATCTCACCATGCCACCCCAGGTCCTCAGGAAAACACCTTGTTTGGCCCCCGTTTTCCACTGGTGAGAGGTTCAAGCTCATTCTGGAGCAGATGTACAGTTTTCAGAAAGCATTTTTGACTGTGTTCCGTTACCTCTTACAAGGCAACCATGGAAGCCAGACCAGCCAGCAAGGACGATATAAAATCAGAGGAAGTCACTTCTCCCTTCCCGGATCCAGTTCACCGTGAACTTCCTAATCCCGACACTAGCACAGTCCCTCTCCAAAGATGGTTGCCTCTTACCAGCTGCATGGCGAGTTAACTTAGCCTCTCTGTGCCTCAGTTTCCTCATTTATAGCATGAGGACCTCCTGGGGTCCTCAAAACTTGCACTTCATACTCAATGCTGACTGTTTATAAAGGTCCCATTTGCATGGTATGAAGATTCTAAACTGGGGGCTGGAGAAATGGCTCAGTGGTTAAGAGCACTGACTGCTCTCCAGAGGACGCGGGTTCAATTCCCAGCACCCACATGGCAGCTCACAACTGTCTGAAGATCCAGTTGCAGGGGATCTGACACCTTTACACCAATGCACATAAGATAAAGTTAAATAAACCATAAAAATATTTTTTTTTTTTAAAAAAAGATTCTCAACTGTGTGGGGTGTCAACCTTTCTTTGGAGGTGCTCCAGACCTGGCTGGGTTGTGGGCTATGCCCATGAGCCTGGGGGAGGTGTGGGTGTCCCTCAGGTTCCCTGCTCTGCCTTCTGCACTGTGCCCTCTGTCTCTCTATAACTCCGAGACAAAGGCTCAGAATGAGACACACGCCCTGACTGTGACAATTCTGAGTGGGGATGTGAGCATGTGTGCAGCAGGTCCACCTGGGAACATTTGATGAGGGTCCCTGGAGGTTCATCAATGGACCCCAGGACCGTAGGGCCCAGCCCATCAAGCAGGCAGGGTCTGAAGAGGTCTAGTCAGTCCCACAGCACTGCCATGTCTGGTGACAGTGGGACAGCAAAGTGCAGAGACCCCAGGCACCGGGAGACTACCAGGAGCACGTGACACACCTCACCCATCAAAACATCTCAGGACTGAGGGCTTCCGGGGACCAAAAGCAAGACGACTTGGGTTATTACAACGGATGTGAGACGGCCCCCTTGGCCCATTAGCACAAGTCCTATGAAAACAGAGCAAAGCAAAAGGTCAGGAACCACAAGTGTCATGAAGATGTGGAGGAACTGGGACTTGGGACACAGCAGATGGCGAAAGCCGTAACCGTATATTGGTTTCTCGGAATCAAGCCTCAGATGGCCATTTACCCAGAAGACACACAGGTTCATAGCTGAGTTACCACAAAATGTCTCCCCACAGACAAGGGGACGAAGATAAGTGTAATGTCGACTAGGTGGAACAGGATTCAGCCTCGTAAAGGAGTGGGACTCTGCTGTGTTCTGACCTTAGATTTGCAGGTGACTGGACGGTGAGAAATAAATGCCTGAGTGCGGCCCAGCGGCCTGCAGGGGCCCTAGAGAGCCCCACTGTATCTCCAGAGTGTTCTCGAGTACTTCAAAGAGCCCTTTAACAGAGGTATATCCCCACCGTCTACACGGAAGGAACTGCAGGCTTGGAGGAAGAAGGAACAGGGTCACTTCCTCAAGTCGCATCCCTGGAAAGTGCCACACATGTCCCCAGGCCCCGGAGAGATGCAAAAGAAAGTCAGTGAAGTGCTGGGGCAGAGGGTGAAGCCCAGAAGAGGATACCAGGAAGTGATAGTGTGCAGTTCCCTGGGCCTGCAGGCCAGAGCCCTGTGCCTGCTCTGTGACTATAATGCTGATAGAGCAGGCGATCCTGCAGCTCCCTCTAACACAGGCTCTGAAATAAGTGCCGCCCACAATTGAACCTGTTACCTCGAATCCTCACAACACACCTGCTGTGTGCCCATCTCACAGACAGGAAAAGTGAGGCTCAGAGGTGTGCCACACTGTACCACATATCCTGGGAGAGGGTTCCCCTTCTTATCTCAGAGAACTCATTGTCTCTCATCTTGAAGGTCGGAGTGCCCCGTTTCTGGGGAAACATGCCTATCTCAGGTAATAATGGTCCCGGGGCTCCCACACTCGGTCTGTATCCTTCACCAGAGCTCTGGGCAAAGGGGCTACCGTCATATGACCAGATGACACAGGTACAGGCCCCTTGCCAGTGTCTTACTTGGCCACCACCACAGTGGGAGAACACAGCGCTCTGTAACCACCTCCCTTCCCATTAACAAGATGAGCTCTCCCCCAATGATGCTTTTCCCTATTCTTATTTTCTCTGTTTTCGCCTCCCACCCTCCCCCTCCCCTCTGTCACCTTCAGGTTGGGATGTGGAAGGCTCTCTGTCCTGTGTAAATTTGTGAACGAGAACACAGAAGGGAACCTTCTTTCAATACGCAGGGAAAGTGCGCCCCCTTGTGGAGAGAACTCTTACCGGGCTATAATGGGCTCCAGTTTCACCTGACCCAAGGAAGGACAAAGGCACTCTGCTTTGCCTAAGTGAGCCAGCCTTTGAGGTGACCTATACACCAGAGCCAAGGGGCGTTCACATGGAGCCAGAACTCCTGAGAAGTAATATGTTCCAACAGCCCACTCGGCTTAGCGGCCCACATCTGGATCCTGGGCGGTCATTAGTGCCAGCTGGAGATATTTAACTCTGAAGCCACTGGTCATGGAGCAGGCTTAATGTGAACGCTTGCTCTGCACACATAAGGGCTTGAGTTTGAATCCCCAGTGACCATGTAAAATGCCAAACATCATTGTGGGTGCCTGTAACCTCGCATGCATGGAGGCTTAAGGCAGAGGAGATACTGGGAGACACCTAGGTCGGGAAGACTTCTCTTTTTAATTTGGGCTTGATGGATTCGTGTCCTTGTGCTTCTGTGGAACACAGAGCGTAGCGTGTGAACCCCGATGTAAAGTGTGTCAATATCAGCCCCTCAGGAGGTGTAAGTGTGCTCACTATTGCGAGATGTTAATAACTTAAAGGGCTGAGGGTTTATGGTTATGGTTTATGGAGAATGAACGCTTTCTACAGACTTAAATTGCCGCCCCTCCCCCGCCCCACTAAAAGCCCGATATAAACAAAACAGAATACATGGGAGACAGAAAAACAGGCGAGAGAGTCGCCACACTTAGGGGGATTCCCCACCCCATCTCGTGGTTTTCTGTCCCTGTTTGAGGGGAACTCTGAGCACAAAGTACTTAGCTTCTATGGAGCCCAGGAATTTCAAACCCAGGGTTTGTGGGGTGAGACTGCCACCTGCTGGCCAGAACAGACATTGTCGGTTGTGCCCAGTGTTTGCTGGAAATTGCTCAGGGAGCTCCCCAAATCCTACACACACTTCGTGTGTCGTGTCTGATTGTGTCACCAGTAAAGACCTGGAAAGATGTAAAACTCTCATGAGTTTATTATAGAAAAGTCCCAAAGTGCAGGGGCACAGACAGGCCAGGGCTACCTGGAGGTTCCGGAGCAGCAGACAGGGAGGCACTTGATGTTGAGGCTCTGAAGGCCAGAGAAGTAGGACCCCTGGTGTCTGCCATCAGCCACCCTCTGGCTTACGACAGCCTTACACATTGTCCATCACTTACAGTTCAGACTGAGCTCTCAGCACCCTCCCGGGCCTGAACACAATTGTAGGGAAGTTCTAATACAATCTTTCCTTGTTTTACATGCAAGGAATGGGAGACACAGAGTGGCTAGCTAACACACCCAAAGGCACACGGCCAGTGAAGGGTGGACCAGAGATCTGCCTTCAGAGTCCACGCCCGACCATGAAGTCTCCTGGTTCCCTCACTTGAAAAGTAGGTAAGCCATTCCGTCCTGATTTTACAGCCTGTCTGGTCTAGAAGAGGAGCCAGGTGAGAACAATTAACCCGAAGTAAGCGTCTAGCAGGAGGCTCAGGCAGGGAGCCCTGCAGCGTCCGGGGGTGGCTAGGGCTGCAGCTCATACTGGCCCTCCGTGGCTGTGTAGAAGTCTTCCAACACCGACTGCAGAAACTCAAAGGTGGGTCGCTCCTCAGGCCGGCCTCGCCAGCACTCGGTGATGATGTCACGGTACAACTCTGGTGGACACGTCTCCGGGCACGGCATGCGATAGCCTTGCTCCAGGCTGCGGATGACCTCAGGGTTACTCATCCCTGCAGGAGGGCAGACAAGGTGCTTCAGGGCAGATACCCCAGGGGCGCAGTCATTGGCTCTGAGGGCAGTAGACCAGGACTAGATGGGAGAGAGCAGGCTCTGACATGCTATGACCATTCTAATCCTGGAAGGTCACAACATAGGTATGGAGGTGGTACCACTTTGTTTTTTTTGTTTTTGTTTTTGTTTTTAAAGACAGGGTTTTCTTGAATAACCCAGGCTAGCCTTGAACTCAAGAGGTTTGTCTCAGTCTCCCAAGTGCTGGGATCACAAGAGCCATTACTTCTGGCTCTGGGGTCATCCAATTTTTTCCCTAATTTTCTCTCTCTCTCTCTCTCTCTCTCTCTCTCTCTCTCTCTCTCTCTCTGTGTGTGTGTGTGTGTGTGTGTGTGTGTGTGTGAGACCCCTGAGTCATCTCCTCAGCCCTGGTGACATATTTAAGGATGTCTTTTGCTTTCCACTGTTTGGAGAAGAGTTGAGAAGGAACTGTAGGGTTTCCGGTGATCATAGGCAGCTTCTCCTGGATGTGACCTACGTAAGTATTCACTGAAGGTGGACACTGTGGAAAGCACCCACCCACAGCTGCTGCCTGGATCCTCTTAGGCATGAGTCAAATGCCTCATGTCAGGATATGACTTTGGAGATCCCACCCTCAGGGACAAGGTGAAGCTGACAATCTTGTCCTCCACCTATAACCTGTCCCCTAACACTCACTGTGCTTGCTCCTGGAGATCCATGCGAGCTCTGCGGGAGGGAAGGATGAAGCCCTGTGGACCTGTGACAGGACCTGCCCTGACCAGTGTGTGGTACCTACAGGCACTGAGCCTGGGGAGCCACCACCAGGATGCTCCAGGAGGATGGCGAGAAGTTCAGGGATAGAACCTACCTGGGTAGGGAACACGCCCGTATGTGATGATCTCCATCAGCAGGACTCCGAAGGACCATACATCAGCCTTGATGGTGAACACCCCGAAGTGGATGGCCTCTGGGGCAGTCCACTTGATGGGGAACTTGGCCCCTGCCAGGAAAGTGCATTAGCGTCAGGGACTGCCCACTCTCCACCCTCATCCAACGGCAGCCACAGCTGTTGCGGGATATTTGTACCCAGTGTGAAAATGTATTGTTGTGTTTGGTGTACTAAAGAGCTGAACTGCCAATGGTTAGGCAGCAGATGTAGGTAGGACTTCCAGGCAGAGAGGGGAAGTAGGAGGAGATAATTGGGGTACAGAGGAGACACTAATGAGGCATGGAGGGAGTTGGACATATAGAATGAAAGAAAGGTAAGAAGCCACATGGTAAAGTGTATATTAATGAAAGCAGGTTAATTTACGTTATAAGAGCTAATGGGACAAGACTAAGCTAAGGCTGAGCTTTCATAAGTTCATAAGCCTTCATCTCATTGTTTGTGAGCTGGCAACCCAAAGAAACATTGTTACATTCAGCCCCATCCTATCTGTTCCCATTGGAGGTATTTTAGGGTGTGGACATTGGATACACAAGGATATGGGAAGATACAGTTGTTTGCCACAATCTTAGGTGTTCTTAAAACCTGTCGACCCTCAGGGTCACTAACACAGGCTTCTATCTGCGGTCCTGTTTGGTCTGGTTTTGGGTTTTGGAGATAGGGTCTTGTGTATCCCAGACTGGCCTCCAACTTGATGTAGCCAAGGATAATCTTAAACTCCTGATCCTCCTGCCACAGCCTTCTGAGAGCTGGGATTACAGCTATGCCCCACCATGCCCTGTTTGTGTTGAATATGGAACTGAGGGCTTTGTGCATGCCGGGGAAGCACTCTGCTAAACAAGCTATGCCTCCAGCCCTGTGCATTTCCATCTGGGGTGGAAGGATCCTTTCTTATCTCATATGGCCTAGTTTAGTGGCAGGGACCATGGCAAGGGAGAGCCATTTTAACAGATTTATGCCTCAGCCGATCCTTTCCTGCAAAAGGAAACCCTGGCATGCAGACGCACCTCTGAGGGCCACTGTGTGGGAGAACGGCAAAGCCCACAGCCGGTACCTCAGGCTTAGCACTGTTTTCTCAGTCCTAGGCACCAGCCTGAAGTTCCCTGAGGAGAAGAATGGATCCCCAAGCCTTGGCTATCCTCCTGAATCCACTGCTTAGCGCACATTCAGCTGATACTGCTTGCTTGCTCCGTGCACCAGAGTCTCCCGACAAAGTCAATTTTCCTCATTCATATTAACAAGGCAGAGTGCTCCGTAGTGCCCCTTACTTGGGTGCCAGAGTCGGATGATGCTTAGGTTTCGTTTGAAACCTGTTTTCCAAGTTGTGCTCCATGACATCCTCCTTCCACAGGAGGTTGATAGGAACTGAGTGGAAGAAAATATGCTCTCAATTCAGTCGGAGGATCAGCAGGTGAAACACGTGGGAATTAAGCACCACTGCAGGATTCCTCAGACCCTTTGCTAAGATCCCTGTGCGTGACTGTCTCCAGGTCGGGGTCAGAGATAGTTCAGCATTCCAAGGCCATTCTGAATGAAGAGTCCCAAGGTGCTCCTACACCCGAGGTGCTTCTCTGCCCCACCCCCTCTTCTATCCAGGGAAAGGAAGTGCTGAACAAGCTAAGAAAAGGCCAGCATCATGGCACACACAAGGCCCATGGGTCTCCCGACTCCTCTCCAGGACCAAGGAGGCATTCGAGGGGGCCCCAGGGAATTGAGAAGTCTAAACGCTGAGGCGGGGGAGGGGGAGAGTCTGCTCACCCTCTTGGGCAGTGTATTCACTGTCGATGATCCTGGCCAAGCCGAAGTCAGCGATTTTGCAACACAAGGTCTCAGATACCAGGATGTTGGCCGCCCGCAGGTCACGGTGAATGGAATTCATGCGCTCTATGTAAGCCATCCCCTCTGCGATCTGAGGGAACGGGTCACATGGTGGAGGGCAGCAAGAACGGAGCCCTCCAGCCTCACCTCCCCTGCCAGGTAATGAGGAGCAAGGCTGGTGGAGGGAAGCACCCACCCCTCCCCATGAGACCAGCCCAGAGCCCAGGGCAGCAGAGAAGTTCTCGTCAAACAGTTGAACTGCCTCCCCCACCCCTGTCCTCCTGTCCCAGGCAACTGTCTCCAAGGTTCTACAGGCCAGAAATAGCAAAGGAAGTCTGTGGTTAAGGGAGACAGAGAAGAAAGAATAAACAGGGTGTACAGGGATAGCGGGGAAGGACAGGATTGCTCCCCCAGAGGACAGTTCTCTCAGAGGAGTCAACCATGCCTTGGGATCACTAATGTCCAAGAGGCTGTGTCACTTCTTTGGTGTGTGTGGGGGTCACAGTCTTGATGAGGGATTCCCCTCTGTGTTCTGTGATTACCATTAATGAATAAAGAAGCTGCTTTGAATCTATAGCAAGGCAGAACTTAGGTAGGCAGGGAAAGCTAGGCTGAATGCTGGGAGAAAGAAGGGCGGAGTCAGAGAGCCGCCGTGGAGCCACCGCCAGAGTCAGGCATGCCGAGTCTTTGCCAGATGCCACTGCCATGTGGCGGTACACAGATTAATAGAAGTGGGTTAAATTAATGTAAGAGTTAGCCAATAAGAAGCTAGAGCTAATGGGCCAAGCAGTGATTTAATTTAATACAGTTTCTGTGTGATTATTTTGGGTCTAAGATAGCTGGGCAGCCGGGAAGAACAAGTAGCCTCCCCTAACACAGTCTGATCTGCAACATCAGACATCATCTCAGGACGCAAAGTTAAGGCCAGTGTCCAATGAGCTGACTGCAGCTGAGGCCCTGGACCTGTTCCCTGCCCCAAGTGAACCCTTGTCGGGGAAGGGTGGAATTCAGGGGAGCAGAGGTTCTCATGGAAGAGGAGCCGTATCTGTCCCAATCACCTGCACCAAGTCACTCACTGATGGATGGATGAAGCCACCTTAGCTCTCGTCTGTCCCTGCAGGCTGCCAGCCTCTGACAGGAACCTACTTGCCCAGGAACTCAGGTACACACACTCGCAGCTTCTCTCCTGCTGAGCCACACCCCAGCCCCTGGTTCCCACATCTTCTGTTTCCACGTGCCCTGCTTCATGCATGAGTCGCTTCCTTTACTCCTTCACTCCCTTGAGAAGCCACTCACTCAGTATGTGTTTGCTAGTGCGAGGCTGTGAAGGGTGTCGAGCCTGAGCCTACGCAGTTTCTACCTGGGCAGCTCGGGAGGTGCTCACATTCTTACGTAACACGCATTGGTCAGCGTTCGAAAAAAGAAACTACGTGAACATAGAAGACAGTGGGCCAGACTGCTCTGTAGAAAAGATGCTACAGAGGAGAGAGCCTGGGCTCTCTAGCAGCTCTCTTCCCTGTTGTTTTGTAACCAAGGACACCGAAAGGCTTGTTCATCCATTGATGAGGGACAAATGGTCCAAGAGAAGAACCAATAACATCCCTTGTCCAGGAAAGCCTTGGTGGGCATGACCTCTGACAAGGAGGGTGGGTCCTGGGCACTGGCTGGGAATCTGTGGACAGGAAGAGTTCAAGACAATCTGCACAGAATAGACGGGTATGCTAGGGCACTGGGCACTGTCCTTGTGACTGCAGAGGCCACAGGGAGAGGACCCAGTGTTTCCTTGGGGGGAGGGTCTTTGTGTGGTGGAGTGAAAAGAGAACGGGCAAGGAAAGATAAGGAAACGGAATGACTGGGATCCTGAGCATCAAGCGCCTTCCTCAAAACCAGCGGCCGGGGTGAACTTTCTGCACCCGCCCCACTAGCTGCCTCGGCAGGTCTCTGCTACCCCAGTGGAAAAAAGACAGCATGACCTCAGTTCCTGAGTTTGATACCAGCTGCAGATAATATGGGACAGCGGAGGAAGTTAAAGTGGGCAAGCGGACAAGTGGGTTAGAGTGTGGGCAGAAAGGCTCCCCTTCTCAGCTCTGTAGGTGTTAACAGTATGTCTCACAGACTGACCACAGACCACAGCTTTCTTGCTGAGAGTTCCAGTTTTGACAGCTGCACTCAGAGCCACCAGATGTGTCTTCCTGCCAGTTAGACCCCTCAGCTAGAGTCCCCGGGGGAGAAAGATACCCATACTGCCCCACCTTGATTCTGCTCTTGCCTCACAGAAGTTGGAGACGTCTATACATGGACCCAGAGGGAACCAAAGGCCAGTCCAGGACAACTGGGGTCTGGAATTCTCTGATGATAGACGTGTGTGTGTGTGTGTGTGTGTGTGTGTGTGTGTGTGTGTGTCTAGAAAAGTATATCCCTTCTACTATGAGTGGCTCATGCCTGCCCATCAGGCTAGGGCCAGTCCAGGGCTGCACCAAGACTTACTGGTGCTGGAACAAGACAGGTATGTTAAAAAACAAAGTCAGAGCAAAGCGTACCTGCCTGCTACTAAACAGAATTCTTGCCTCTTCCCTAGCTTTCCAACACCCATTGCCGTCTCTACCTTCAAGAGAACTATCTTATCCCATCATGGCTGCCCAGAATTGGAACTACATTTCCCAGACCCCCTTGCAGCCAAGAGGGTCATTGAGGCAAGTGGAGAGGGGAGGACGTGTAAGAACAAATGTAATGGGAATGTCCCTAGAGCGAAGAAGATGGGATTTTAATCCTCATCTCCTAAGAGGCAGGTAGTAAAGCCAGCAACCACTGGGCATAGTAAGATGCCATTCCATGCTAAGATTCTGTGCCCAGCGGAAGACACCAGCGGGCAGAGCCTCTCACCTGTCCACCTCTAGGTACTTATGCATTTAGTACTTCAGGCTTTCTGTTTTTCACAGCCCAGCCCACATCTGACCAGCACAGCCTCTCACCAGGGGACTCAAAGCACAGGAGGGGGGGGTTCATCCCTCCAGGCCTCTTCTGCTTCATAGCATACCAACCTGGGCTGACATGTCAATCAGCCTGGGGAGGGACAATCTGCTGCCTTCATCCGTTTTCAGAAAATCCAGCAAGCATCCTAGGAAAAGAGAGACAGGAACTGCACAGTGGTGGACCCCGGCTCTGCTCTCCAGGTCCATGGAGGGTCTGCCTATGGCTGAGGAGCCTCATACTTCACGGAAACACTCACCCCTAGACTTCCAAAAGTAAGTTCTCAGTCAAGTTTAGGGACATGCCTAGGGTCTCTTGGGCAGTAGAGCTGGGCCTAAGGTTCGGGTTCTTTCCCAGCATCATGTTCCTGTGTGTCTTTCTTGGTCCACTTCCCTCCTTGAGAAAGATGTCCCCGGAGGGAAGTGTTAACAAGAAGACACCAGAGGAGAGAGCTAGGGCAGGTTTAAAAAAATGCGGGTCCTCCACCAAGTCCACTGCCAGGTAGGTGCTCTTGGAAATTCAGCCAGGAGGCAAGTACCCGGCACAGCCTGTGATGCCGACTCCCTTGGTGGCAATGATTATAGTTAGCATGGTCACATTAAGGACCTGGAGGAAGTAAGGTGATATCAGGGCCACAGGAGCGGTGAGATCCCTTAGGTGGAGGGTAAAGTCAGGTCTCATTCCTGGCCAACTGTCCCCTGGGGAGACACTGCAGAAACTGCCAGGCCCAAAATAGAGGCTGCCAAGTACCATTTCCCTTGTCATCCATGCTGTGAAATGTTCACGGGGTTGCCAGAGCTCCCATAGCCGGGAAGAGGTGGAACTGGGTTATTTGGTCCTCCTCTGGATGCCCAGTCTATGGCTCTTCCTATTGTGCAAGGCTCTGTGCATCATAGCAGGGATCAAAGCATGATGTGTGTGCCTCAGAAATAAACAAACAAACAAACCGAGGTCTGGAAACATGGGGCATGCTCTGGCAGTGGAAAACACACTCCAGAAACAAAACTCATGCTCTGGAAGGCTGAGCTTCCCCTGAGCTGAGAACACGGTTCTGGGAAAATGATTCCACCTTGTTTCTCAGCCTCCCTTCTCATAACATCAAGCTTACAGATCCCACAGGAACCTCCAGGCCAGACAAACCCACCACCATGCCCCACTCTTGTTTTTGCCTTCTAAGACCTGTCCTGTAGAGAGAGAAGGGGCCCCACCTCTGGCCATGTACTCAGTGACAATGTAGATGGGCTCTCTGGTGACCACGGCATAAAGACGGACCAGCCTTTCGTGCTGAAGGCTTTTCATCACATTGGCCTCGCCCAGGAACGCTTCTGGAGACATGGTTCCCTCCTTCAGAGTCTTGACAGCCACCTTCACATTGTTTTTGTAATAACCTGACAAGGCAGGAGAATGAAGGAGCCACTCAGACGTTGGAGAAAACCCTTCACCACAGATTCAAGCCCTACTCTTGGTGGGCTCAAGGTCCAAGCGGGAACACGCAGTCCCTGAGGGAGATGATGGGAGTGCATGTCTTGTGTAAGATTCCAGCTTGTTGTGGCAAGCCCCATGATGGAGCCTCAGGCTGTGGTGGAATTCACACAGTCTGAGGGAAGGGATGACACCCACTAAAGGGTGTAAGTTAATAGCCGGAACCAGTGCTTCCCAGGGTCATGAGCCCTGTGAGAACCAGGTCTGCAGCTCAAACCACAGGTGTCTCAGTTCTGGGTGGCATCAGAATGGGGCTTTGAACTTGTGCCCTGGAGACATGGACCAGAGCAGAATAAAAATAAGACAAAGGGCCGTATGTTCTGTTTGGATAGTGCTGTAAGTTAGCAGCAGGCAGCAGCCGTGATGGAACGGTGTGAGCGCTGGGGCAAGCGTGGCTTCCGTTTGTACAGAGCCCTGAGCTCCTGCCGCTTGGCTCTTGGCTCCCAGTGCCTGATGAACAGCTTCTGTCTAGACAGTTGGAGATATGAGGACCTGACAAAATGGTCGAATCCACGTAAGCCAGCCACAAAGCTAGCAACCAATTGGGAATGAAAGAGGAACTGGCTTAAATTCAGGGAGACTTGGATTTGATTCTCTTCTGTTGCAAAGAAGATAGAGCAACGATGTGAATCCCTTGGCATCAGGCCTTATTAGCTCTTCTGTAAAGGTATACAGCTATGCGTCTGCCCCTCACAGGCACCTCAGGGAAGGGGGTGTGCTGCTCATATGGAGCCGCACATGGCCCCCATGGCCACTTCAGGCTCAGAACACAGAGTAGAGAGAGGGAGCCTGGGATGTCACCACTCACCCATCCAGACTTCTCCAAACTGCCCAGACCCAAGTTTCCGGACCAGCTTGAGAGACTGCCTGGGGATTTCCCATTCATCCTGTGCCCAGGGGTTCTTCGGGGCTGGGCTCACACAGGGCAGGGTCAACTTCTGGCACAAACCATCCCCTTTCTCTGTATCAGGGAAGAAAAGAGAAGCTAGAGGCCATCAGAGCAGACTTCCCTTAGGAACCACATTGTCCCCAGCTCTGTCCCTTGTCTCTTCCCTCCCACCGTGGCAGGCAGGACATAGTGTCTGAAACCTGTTCTCTCTGGGACTGCAGGTCCTTGTTACTTTCCAAGTAGGCCCATGCTGAGCATTAGGCCGCTGATTTTGAATCATTAAGCCCACTGACTTTGAATCATTAAGCCGAAACTTGACAATTCCTGAAGTCTGGCTTGGCGGACACCCCTGCCTTCCAGTTGACTCATACCGTGTGGGATCATACAATAGAGAACCCGAGAGTTCCTCTGGGACCCTCCTCCCCGCCCCAACACCTCTTACTGGAATAGTGCTGCACCAGGGCCTGGAGGGTGGGGAAGGTGACCCGAGGAGAGATGTAATAGCCACCGTCGTCCAGGGAGCGGATCTTATAGTGCTTGACCACCTCCCCCTGGGTGGTGACATCCTTCACAGACAGGGAAAAGGCACCTAGAGGGTTAATAGACACGTGAGAAGTGAGGCAGGACTAGAAGTGGGGCTCCTGTGAGCTGAAAAAAGTACCCCCAATTCTGTTTTCAGCCATTTCAGGGCAATCCCCCTTTCCCTTTGGTCTAACTCCACTCTTCCACAACACTTCCTATTTGGATGTCTGACCCAGACTTTTCCTTGAGTTCCCAAACTGCAGGGAACCAGGAACTCTGGGGCAGACAGGACCGTTTCTCAGCTATACATGGGTCCTCTATTGGAGTACCTGAGATACAGAGGGTTGCCAGGAGACTCGGAGGTTTAGTATCTTTGACTTGCGGCCTGAAGACTTCCCCAGAGAAATGGCCAGTCAGGCTCTTTAGTTCCATACTCTTTCTAGAAGCATAGCAAGCCATTTCCCAGAGGTCTTTCCAAATTCACACAGTGTTTTATAGTCTGTGTTGACATTTTTCAGATTAACAAGGAAGCAGGCGGCAAGAGATTAATACATAGAAAGGAAGAATTTTCAGTTAAGAAACTTCTTTCCTTAAACCTTTTATAAAACGCCTCTGTTGGGCCGCGTGACGGCCACAGATTCCCCCATTTTCAAACTCTTCATTTGTGAGATATAGAGACACTGAAAGGAGGTTACTCTGAAAGTTAACAGCCAGCTTGGGGTTCAGAATGGCTCCACTTTCCCTGTGGGTGCTCTTTTGAGACGCAGTCCCACCCTCCGCCACAAGGGGTCAGGCCAGGACACTTCTCTGCATCAGGCCCTTGATACCGGTCCAGGCTGATAGCTTTGGGTGCTTTCGTGTCTCAAGTCTCTTTCCTGCTTGTGTCTTTTCTTGGCCTATGTGTTCCTCACAACCTACTTGCAAAAGAATGCCAAGAGGCCGCACTACCGTCCAACACACTTTAAGGCTGCCGCAGCCCTTGCCCCGGACCTTAGCCCTAGATGGGATACTGCAGACTTCCCCACTCCAACCTGCTCTCGCAACCATGCCTCTGTCTCTGAGGACCTAGAGTGGGCACTATTGAGTCCAGCGATCTCACACCAGCACGGTGAGGTCAAGAGCTTTTGCCACCGGGATGCTGCGCCTGTATAAATGCCAAAGCATTCCTTTCTTTCTTTCCTTCACTAGATGTGGCTCCTGAAACTTGAAGCCCTCCAAGGTCCTGCCTGCTTTACAGCAACTGGGTAATGTTAAAGAGCATCCCAGTGCTGTCAGCTCCATGTCGATGGAATCTCCTGTCTTTGGGAAGTGGCTGGGCTGCCTGGGGCGTTGGAGAAGTATGGATTTGTTTTTGTTTTTTTTCTGAAGAAGAGTTTCTCTGTGTTGCCCTGGCTGTACTGAAATTCACTCTATTGCCCAGGCTGGCCTCCAACTCACAAGGATCCATCTGCCTCTGCTTCCCAAGCGCTGAGTTTAAAGGTGTGTACCACCACACCTGGCTTAGTTTGGGTGTTTAAACATTTACTTCTATTGTATATTTTGCTTACTTGTATATCTGTGCACCATGCGTGTGCAAAACCCAGAGGCCAGAGGAAGGTGCCAATTCCCCTGGGATTGGAGCTATAGACATTTGTAAACTGCCACGTGGGTGTTGGGAATGAACCTGGCTCCTCTGGGAGAGCAGCGAGTGCTCTTACCACTGGGCCATCTCTACACCCCACCATTCTTATTTTGTTTTGTTAAAAAATAAAAAAGGCTTTGCTGGGTGGTTGTGGCACACACCTTTAATCCCAGCACTCGGGAGGCAGAGGCAGAATGATCTCTGAGGTCAAGGTCAGTCTGGTCTACAAGAGCTAGTTCCAGGACAGCCAGGCTATTAGAAAAAGAAATCCTGTCTCGAAAAAAAACAAAACAAAACAACAACAGCAAAAAACAAAAATCAAAACAAAACACAAAAAGATATTATTATTCTTTCGCTAGTTTTGGCACTGTATCATGGGTCACAGTCATCCTCACTCTCCATCACCCTCTCTCCTCTCCTACCCTCCCCACTGAACCCTTTCTTCTCAAATTCCTTACCACTGAAGAGTCCCAGAACCACAAAAACAAGTGAGGCCTTGTCTCCAAAACAAAACAAAAGACATTAGGAGGAATGTCAATTGGATGGGGGACATGCCTGTAATCCCAGCTCCCAGCAGATGCATGAGGAGTAATACAAGGTTAAGGTCAGCCTGTTCTATATAGCAAGAATCTCTCTAAAATAAATAAATAAATAAATAAACAAGGAGAAGAATGTAGGAGAATATTATTTGGAAAGTGGCAGACAGGAGGGAGGGAAGCAAAAGCAGTGGCCTGAGGCTGGTAGCAGCATCTGACTCAGCCACACACAGATATGAATCTCTGAGTCTTGGGTGTTGGCTCTGATTTTTTTTTCTTTTGATACCTGGTTTCTTTATGTAACAGGCCTGGCTGTCCTGGAACTTGTATTGTAGACCAGATTGGCCTCAACTTCATAAAGATCTACCAGCCTCTGCTTCCCAAGTGCTGGAATTAAAGGCCTGTGCCACCATACCTGGCAGCTTCTAATTCACCAGTCACTGACCCATCTACACCGAGACACAGGCCACCTGCCAACCTCCTAAGACCTGCCAGCCTCTGCCTGAGATGTTTTTTAAAGATTCTCCGAGCTTCTTGAGTCTTTGATTTCAAAATGTGTCGGGGACTGGGAGCTACGTGGTACTTCCTCAGCCCCCATCTGCCTCCCTTAGCTATGATCACCGCGGCACAGGGCTTTCCACTGCCCCTGCCATTCAGATCCCAAGGGTGTCAGTCTCGGGGCCAGGAAAACAGCCAATGTGGACAGCCTCAAAGCCAGCCCCCAGGCAGGGACACAGCACAGAAGCCATCGGGGATCCCTCCCACTCCAGACTGAGGCCTCGGTGGGGGCTTTCCAGGATCCAGGATCGCACACAGCAAGAGGGACAGGGAGGCCCCCAGACTCGCCTTGATTGCTCTCACTCTCTCTGATGAGGAAGGCACCAGCCTTGTTCATCGGAGCCAGCAGCTGCCTTTCAGCATCCTTCCGGCTGATGGTCCTGAAGAACCATCTGGAAAACAGCAAGAGTGGGTGTGCCTCAGAGTTGGGGATACCCCCAAGCCTATCTTGAGATGGTCCTCACATCTCATTAAGTTAGATGCCCCAAAGTCCCTGCAACCCTGTTCCATCCCATCTCCCAACAACTTCTAAGCTCATGCTTTCCCTGATGAAATAAGAACATGGGTTATGGGCTGGAGAGATGGCTCAGCAGTTAAGAGCATTGCCTGCTCTTCCAAAGGTCCTGAGTTCAATTCCCAGCAACCACATGGTGGCTCACAGCCATCTGAAATGAGATCTGATGCCCTCTTCTGGCCTGCAGGCAGACACACAGACAGAATATTGTGTACATGATAAATAAATATTAAAAAAAACATCGGTTATGTGACCTCTATTGGAATCTGTCTGCAAAATCACACCCGATCCACTACCCTCCCCCTGGCACCAGATGTTGTCATGAGGTTGCCGTTGTCTTGCCTTCCGAGTGAATAACAGTACTGCCAGGGGCTTTCTGGGCCTGGATTCTTCCCAAGTCCCCTCTCTTCAGCACGGGGACGTTGGCACTTGTGGTCGGATGTAGAATACTCCCTACAGGCTTGTATGTGGTCCCCAGCGAGTGGTTCCATTTGGAAGGTTGTGGAATCTTTGAGATATGAGGTCTAACTGGAGGCCATGGGGATGTCACTTGAGGCGACAAGTCAGCTCAGCTTTCCTGCCGGAGCTCTGGCTACTTCCTGGCCCGCCGAGATGAGAGAGGTCCCCAGTTGTACATTCCTGCCACCATGAATTCTACTTTGTCTTTTCCATCGGGATGGACTGTACTCTTTTAAACCATGAGCTAAAATAACCCCCCCCATAAACCATATATTTTTTTAATAGGGACAGAAGACATAACTAATACAACCCGGTTCTGGAGAAAGACCCAGGGTTCACGGTGTGTGGAAGGGAAGGAGGCAAGTGTCGCCACCATGAGGTGGTGCATGCCCATGTCTCTGTTCTATATGAGGGAGTAGGTGAGTGGCCGAGGGGGACCTTCCCTGTGTATGGAAGCTGGTGAGGAGAACGCTGAAGAAGTCCTCTGGGGATTCTCCCGGGAGGTGGTGGTCGCATAGAGCCTTGCTGTGGATTCTGGAGGGGACCAGGCAATGGGGATAATCTCACCCAGAGAAGCCAGGAGGTGAGTGTCCCTTCTTTCAGATGGGAAGACAGACCCCCTCAGTATTCCTCAGAGTGTTAGACGAGATCCAGAACCTACGATTCCCAACCCCTCATCAACAGCCACTATCAGCTCGTCCTGGCCCTATCCTACTCAGAACGGCTAGAGCAACCCTGACACGTCTGGCTCCAGGCAGTTTATCCACCTACTTTTCTACCTCCAGGGTCTCCACCGGGGCTACAAAGTTGCTGGGCACATAGCCTTCTCTTCCGGTGATGAGCGATCTGGCCAGCCACCAGTCTCCCGTGCTAGTGGGAAGAGGGGAGACAGAAATATGACAGAGGCTCACCATGGATGTTTTCGGCAGCTCCCAGCACCCCACAACAGGTCCTGTTCTGGTGGGAGACAGGATGGCAGAGATGGACAGACAGTATGGCGATTAAGAGGTGCTGTGTGAGTGGTCCATCCACTGTGCAGAGCATGTGGCAGACAGAAGGGGTCACGGTGCAGAGGAAGAAGGAAAGATTTGTCCGGACAGCCTGACTGGCCCAGGGATCATGTCCTTTTCTAAGCGGCCCCTGTCTTAACGGATGGGACGTGTCTAAAACTTATGGGATGAGTTGGGACTGGTTAAAAAAACAAACCCAGGAGGGAGGGCTGCTGACAAGGGAAGAACTAAAAACCTATGTAGGGTCAAAGGTCAGGGCACTTATGGGTTCAGCTCAAACCCACTGCAGAACTTCAGGAACCAATTAGACCTTGGGGCCCCATGGTGTAGGCTTACAGGGTGGAGGAAGGGAGAGGGGAATGGGGAAAACAGGCAGACACTGGAGGGTGTACCGAGGAAGGGCACAGGAAGTAAGCTGACGTGGAGTTACTATGTGGGGTCCAGAGAGGTTTCTTGCTAGATTTTAACAGCAGAGCAGAAGGCTGGAAACAGAAACGACCTGGTCAGAAGGACATGGGGGGAGGATAATGGCTCGAGTTTAAGAAAATACCCGGAGACAGGAGAGGGGCAGGGCGAAAGTGAAGACTCTTAAGGGATGCCCCAGGGATGTGGACCGTGGGGGACCCTGTGCTGACAGGGACAGCATTCTAGAAGTTTACCTCCTCAAGACCTGGAGCTTCTCTCCCTTCAGCACCTGCAGGTCCCTGTCATTCACGGCCGCGTAGTCAAACAGGGCCACCACAAAATGCTCCCCTGAAAACGACAAGGAAAGGATGGCTACCACTGGGGTCCCCAAGAGAGGTGGAGATCTGGGTACTGTGTGCGGCAAGCCATCTTCCGAGCCCTAAGATGATTAGTCACAGGGAAGCCACGCGAGGCTACTCTTTGGCCAATACAGGGGGAGTCCTCAGGAACTGACACCCAGATCCATCTCTACTCTAGCAGTAGGCTGGCCCTCATTGCCTGCCTCATTTTCCTTTCAGACCTAAGGCCTGGACAGAGATTTGAGGGGCATCTACATGGAAGCAGCTATGGCCAGCTCTCAGAGGGCTGTAGGACTCTGAAGTCTGGAGTCAGTAACTAGCTGACCCTGCATCCACCTTGCCTTTGAAGCATCCTTTCCCAACCTCTATCCCAGAAGTCATGTGACTACTCTAGCCCTGTCCTCCCCACGGTGTTTGTGTCCAGAGCTTCCCAGTGGCTCTGAGCACCTGTCCTTCCTGGCTCTGCACCTCTCTTGGAGGGCTGTTGACATGCTGGAGGTCCTGAAGCAGCAGGAGGCTTGGGAGCACAGTGGACCACCTTTCAAATGATCACTGTTGGACCCCAGGGCTCCCTGAATACCTGGCAGAATCTCTTAGATAACCTAACATTGTCCTGGATGAGCGGTATGGCCTGAGGTTGGGACCATCCTTGGTGGGAACAGGTTTGGCATGAACGGCAGGGGTTGTTAAAATATGGGATGAGTTGGGACTGGTTAAAAAAGCAAGCCCAGGAGGGAGGGCTGCTGGTAAGGGAGGAACTGAAAACCTACGCAGGGCCAAAGGTCAGGGCGCTTAGGGGTTCAGTTCAAACCCAATGCAGAACTTTCGAACTTGCAATGTTAAGACTCAAACTTGTACCAAAGACTGTCACTTATTTCCTTCCCGTGAGTCTCTATTCAAAAGACGGGATACCTGCTGATAGAAAGTGGAGGATCACTAATCCGTTGAGAAAGATGGTGTCCTTAGCCTGGTAAGGGACACCAGACGACAACACTGATCAGTTCCAATGCTTTGCTCATAAAGATAACAAGTCGATCTCTCCCAGGACGGGAGAGGTGTGTTACCCACTGTGACATCTTCCCCTGTCCTGGAATACAGTGGTCTGTGTGCTGCATGCTCCATGTTCTCCGTGGGTGAGTGAAGAGATGACTGGTATGGGTGGCTGATGGGGGATGCTATGGAGGTCAGTTCTGAACGAGGCCTGATCGAGTCCCAGCCCAAGAGGAGGCTCGTTCATTATGTGACCACAAAAGTCCAGTCAGAGCGGAGTGGAGTCTGGGATGAAGGAGGAAGCACACGTGGCGAGAAGGTTTCCAGGGGAGACAGGACACAGACAGTCCTCCATGTGGGCCAAACCTTGTGCCAAGAGCGAAGGAGTCTGCCAGGTTGCGTCTGTGAGCCAGGCCTGACATTGCCAGATCCACTCCCATAACTCCTTTCTTTGGGATCTTTTATAGCTTGCAGAGTGGATTTTACGCTCCCAGCTTCCCCTTTCCAGTCCTATAGGGCCCGCCCCAACCGCTCTGGTTCTAACACATGGTGTGTCCTGGAGAGATGCACTTGTGCCCCGTTCTTACCTTGTTCTGGGTGCTGGTTAGGAGATGGAGGGGCGAGGTGGTTGAAGACAACCTTGGGCAGAAGTACACTGAGTTAGTGGGCAGTCTGCAGCAAAAGTAGACTAAATGACCAGTTGGCCAGATTACCTGTGGGGACCCACTTTGAGGAAGAAGGGTTGCCACCATACGGGAATACTTAGATAAATTCTGTATATGCTCCTTGGAGCACCTCTGTCCTCCCAGGCCACCTGCCATCATTGCCTAGACCATATATGGAGATGCCACAGCTTCAAAGGGGAAAAAAGCCCTGTCTCCTCCGTTAAAGTTCTGTCTCTACCATTAAAGAAACTGCAGACAGGTATTTACTGGCAAAAAAAAATCTTAAAATTATGTTTCCCTAAAACTCAATCATTGTTCTCTGATGTCCATCCCAAGGGTAGACTTCCACACGTTTGTGCCAGAACACAGCACAAGGGTATGTCTAGTGTAATATTAGTCTCACATAAAGCATTTTTCTTTTTTTCTTTTTTTTAAAAAATATTTATTTATTTATTAAGTATACAATATTCTGTCTGTGTGTATGCCTGCAGGCCAGAAGAGAGCACCAGACTCCATTACAGATGGTTGTGAGCCACCATGTGGTTGCTGGGAATTGAACTCAGGACCTTTGGAAGAGCAGGCAATGCTCTTAACCTCTGAGCCATCTCTCCAGCCCACATAAAGCATTTTTCATCATGGGAATATCCTTCACAATCCATGGCAGACCATGAAGTAAGGAGCTGTATCTACCATGCACCAGTGTGGTTAAATCTCACAAACACCATGCTGGATCCACAGACTCTTATTCCCTTGGAACCGAAGCCCAAATAAGTTCTTCTTTGAGTTACCCTAGTCACCGTGGTTTGTTACAGTAACAGAAATGTAGCTAAAGCAGCAACAATGAGACCAGCTGCCTCAGCCTCCTGCTCCTATGACTTGGCCCTGATGGACTGTTAACCTAGAACCATGAACTAAATGGGTGAAGAAAGGGCCTCGGGGCAGGAGCTCAGGAGAGCCAATTCTAAGTATCTCTGGGAAGTGCAATAGTAAGGAATCACCATCTTTCTCAAATTAATATGCATTATGCAGATTTAAAAATTAGGTTCTAGGTGTCTACTGATTAGTATGTCACTTCAGGGAAATGACCTAAGTTTGAATTTACCCATATTCTCATCCATCCATCCATCCATCCATCCATCCATCCATCCATCCATCCTTCATTATTCATTCATTCATTCATTCATTCATTCACTCAATAAATGTCTCACTGTGTGCAGAGTCTTGTGTGACACTTGGACTCAGCTAGAAGAGAGGCCAGGGCTCATCTATAAAAGAAAACCGGCAGTCTCTGCTCAGGTCTGCCCACATTGACAGGCAGGGAAGGACATGGGTCCAGGCATGATTCCAATTGCCCCCAAACTAATAGGTTTGTGACCAAGCAGAAATTGAAATCAAACAGTCATCTAGACACCATAAGGACTGGTTCAGGGAGTACCTCGTACCTTAGACTCTCTCCTTGAAGGGGCTGATCACTTACCAGAGGTGGCAGGGGTGGGGGAGCCTTGCTCTGGGCGTGGACCTTCACGGGGCTCCAGCCCTTGCCCTTCTCACCGCTGACCTGCCTCTTGCTGCTCAGCAGCCCCATCCTGTAGGAGAGTACACGGTAGTGACAAGAGAACCCAAGCCCCTGCACCCAACCTTTCAACCCCTTCTGGTTAGAAATATGTGACAGTATAGCTCTCCACATCAGAGCTTGGGAGAAGAGAAGAGAACAAGGTTAATCTGGTATCCATCTTTTTCTCAGTGACCCAGAGAGGGAAAATAGCCATGTTTAGGACACAGACATCATCTGGCATGGGTCCCAGTTTCTCAGAGGCAATGACCTGTGCAGGGGAGTGATCTTGATTCTACAGGAGCCTGACCGTGTCTAGTGGACTGGTTTTAATCTTATTTTGCCAGTGGGCCTCTATGTCACTGGGGAGTCTCCCCTTCCCTCCCTGGGCCCACGGGCACCTCTGTCAATGGTGAAGTTTTATTTTAGCATGTCGAATAGGGTGCTCTGCAGACAGAGTTTTAGGGTGAGATGCCATACGCAGAGGACAAACTGGTAGCTAGCACAGCAGGCACTGAAGGCCGGTCATCGATGCCCGGTAACAGTGGAAATTTTGTGTGGAAGAGAGATCATGGTCAAGTTTGTTCTTTGGTGAAGAATCTTAGTGGATGTGGGAAAGACCCAAATCCAGACAGCAGAAATGAGTCCGTAATGCTTCCTTTGTTATTTTGATAATTGATGGGGGAAAGATGCAGATTTAAAAAAACAAAGCAAAACAAGAAAATCAAGGTGTGAAGAAAAAAAACATCACAAAAATTTTAAGATTGTGTATGTGTGGTTCTTAAGGCAAAGCACTCCCCCTCCCCAGAAGATAGTTCTAGAATGTTGATATTGTTTACTTAGGCGGTAGGACTTCATATGACTTTTATTTTCTCTCATATAATTTCCTATATTCCCTGAGCACTTCAATAGCAAGTGTATACTCTTGAACAAGAAGAAAAGTTAAGAGAAAATCTTAACAATTCGCCTAGCAACAGAGGTACTTAGAGCCTGGGAAAGAATAGTTCTTGAATAGACACTAAGTGGCTAGTTCTCAAACCTTTCCTGGCCTCCCTATCTCCTGGGCTCAGTGACAAGTCAGTGAGCGGCAGGTTCTAGAACCTTCTCTGCACTTGGAGATCTTTTGCCCTTATTCAGATAACCACAACTGTTGGCAGAGGCTGCTTGTTCCCGGCCGCCCAGACCCAAAATAATCACATAGAAGCTATATTATTTGCAGTACTGTTTGGTCAATAGCTTAAGTGTATTTCTAGCTAGCACTTACATCTTAAATTAACCTATATCTTTTTAATGGGTTTTTTATTTTTATATTTTATATTTTACCACTAGGCTCATGGTTTACTGGCAAGGTTCTGGGGCGGGCATCTGTCTCCTCTTGTGACTTCATGGCTTCTCCCTGACTCCGCCTTCTTTCCTCCTCTATCAGCTTGGAATTGCTGCCTTGTTCTATTCTGCTAAGTCACTGACTGAAACAGCTTTACTCATTAACCAATAAAAGCAACACATGTACAAAAGGACATCCCACAGCACACAACGTTGTTTTCCTCCATCTAGTCAGCCACCAAATTTGAACTTTCTGGGGAAACATGTCCACTTAACCAGCAAAATTGAATATTTAAAGACTCTGACAGGAAGTTCAGTTCATGACCCACTACTTACATTCTATGCACAACTGGCTTTCCAGGGCTTTAGGGAGAACACAGGTTCTCAGTGAAGACCAACTACAGAGGAGGCTGTGTGACAACTTTCTTTGTGACTGGGCTTGGGATAACTCTGCAGTTTCAGGGTGGTTAGAGACAGGAAGTGCAGAAGGAGCACATGTAACTCTGGTGTTTCAGGAGGTTTGGCTTCATTCAGTAGACAATGACCTCCCTTCCCAGAAAAGATAAGAGGAGAATGTGGGTCTCTCTCTCTCTCTCTCTCTCTCTCTCTCTCTCTCTCTCTCTCTCTGTGTGTGTGTGTGTGTGTGTGTGTGTGTGTGTACTTTGTGGGTTACCAAAAAGAGGGCAGGAGACTTTCGTTGCTTAGAAACATACTTGACCCCCATGCAGACTCTCACAAGAGCTGGGAGGTCCCTGTTTACCCTAGGGAGGTGCTCAAAGTCCAAAACCCAGCCTCAACCAAACGGGATGTGGTGAAGGCAACAGTTAGAGCCGGAGAGCAGAAACCCTTGAGCCACACCTGCTGTGTGTGTCGTAGTTGAACAGCAATTGACACCTTCAGTTTTGATGTCTGTGATTGCATCAGCAGACTGGCTGCAATAGTTCTTGCGCATGAAACAGGAGAGCCAGGGAGGCTTTGAGGTGGCCTGGAAGGTGGCCGAGCAGCAGCTCTGACGCTGTGGCAGTTCACGCAGGAAACAGGTGGACAGGCGACCCTGCCAGGACAGTTCAAGTTCAGATCTCTGATTTCTCCCCTGCGAGGGATGCCACCTGCTCACAGAGCTTCCAAGGCCACTTCTTTCTCCCCATTGTTGCAACAATGGCGGTCAGGGGTTGGGTGGCCAGAGCTCAGAACAGCCCGCCCATCAGCTTTGTGAACATGGGCAAGCCATTTCACTTCTCAGAGTCTATCTCCCTGTCGATGGTAGAGTATGAATCCGTTCCTAGTCCCACAGACAAAGCCTTCTGAAGAAGGCATCCTCGAAATGAGGCTGAGAAAATTGAATAATTGCCCTGTCATCTAGGATGGGGGTCCCAGAGCTCTCTTTCTGCAGAATTAAACCAAAGTACGAAATTCTCAATTCCATCTTATCTGTTTGACTTGTCTCTGCAATCCATTTCCAGCTGGTCACAAGTGTATTTTAATTATGCTTTCCTGTGACAGCTGGTTATGTCTATTTGTATAAAATAAGGGGAAAGGGCACTGAAATATCGAAACAATTGTGTGAATGCTGCTGCCTGGGCAAAGAGCAGTTGTCCAGCACCACTGGGCTGTTGCTAAGCAGCCGCAGCTCCCGGGCAGCTGCGACTGCCCAGTCTCTCCCTGATGTGCTCTTGTTTAGGTTCAGCGCACAGAAGATGTTTGGGCAAGTTGATGCAAAAGGAGTAGATATGTAGGTTTAAAATGAAAGGTCAACAACGTATATGCAATTAACAAGCATTGCCCAGCACCCTCCACCCCACCCCGCAAGGTGAGGACAAGGAAGAAGCAAGGAATAAACAGGACACCAAATAAACATTTTGTTATATATATAATATATATAACATATATATAATAATATATAATAATATACATATTATATATATAAATCATATATATATATATATATATATATATGATTAACACAGATGATAGCCTGTTTTCCAATGCAGATGAGCTAGTGAGTGACCTGTGGGAGTCATGATTCTTCCCCCCTACCCACCAGGGCTTTGTAATTTCCAAGGTAGTCCTGAGATGCATTGGGATTGTCTGTCTTTTCTTTGGAGGCCAAGACTTGGTGTAAGAAACCAGAAGGTTTGGGAGTGGGTTGAAAGATGGTGGCCAGTGGAACCCCCTTGCAGCCAGCAAAGCATTGAGTCATTTATATACCTACACTGGCATCACTAATCCAGAAACCCAGGCTTGTTCTTCTAGAAACAGGGGACCCCTGGTTGAAACAGATATCACGAATGAAGTCATTGTTAGGGTATACAGTTTCAGGTCTGTCTGACTCTGATTTATACTTTCAAGGGGCAGGGGTTGTCTGGTATTTGGTGCTCTAGGCAGCGATCATAACACTCCACCCACAGGGCACTGTTTTGGGGGTCAGACAGCGTAGTAAGCAAAAGTACAGAGTGCAACTGTTTGCCCTTCAGTAAGTGGCTTAGGATCTGAGTGTGTTAATTGGAGTAGTGACTGTTTCTATCCCCAGGGTGTTGTTATAAGGCCTGAATTCGTGTTACTTATTAGTAGTACATCTTAGGACAGTGTCCAGCTCACCTAAATGCCTAATAGTCACCACACTGTTAAGCCAGATACACGAACAACCAATGGTTATAGTTCCTTCAATGACCACGAGAGGAAAATAAATGTCCCTTGTCCCTCACTGCAGATGACAGTTAGGGACAGCAGCAATCTGTCTGCCATTGTGCCGTCAGGGGAGAGCAAGCCTAGCTTTCAACACAGTTACAACTTATAATCGTTCCCTCCACACCTGAATTTGAAGCAGCCCCAGCCATGGCTCTCAGGAATCTATAACCTTTTATTCATTTTGTCTCAAACATTCCACACCTGCAAACAGTGTACTGTGTCTCACAGAGCAGAAAGTACAGAACTCACCCAATATACAGCCAATACTTACCACATGCTGGCTTCTTCCTTGGTTTGCCCTTGAGATTCCAACAGAGTCCTACACAATTTGAGATTACTGTTCTCCTGCCTCAACTTTGACTAGTTCCAGGTCCTTGATTTTTGATTTTTAAAATACAAGTTCTATAGAATGTTCTATATTTTGCCTTTACTTTCTCTCTCTCTCTCTCTCTCTCTCTCTCTCTCTCTCTCTTTCCCCCCGCCCCCCCCCCTCTCGCTCTCCTTCTTATACATGGAGCAAACAAACGCCTAGGGCTCCATTTGATTCAGATACATCTTTCCCTGGCAGGGATGCTCCCTAAGGGTGATGTGTGCCGTAGGAGGGACACAATGTAGCAATGCTAAGATCATCAAAGTTCAGGTGCTCTGTCTCCATCCACTATGTTCTCACCAACATTTCAACTGACTTTTCATTAATAGTTACAAAAGCTAATACTCTAATTTCATCATAGGTCTCACATTTGTTAGTTGGGAGTTGAGAGAAGAAATGGCCAGAAAATGGGAACCCCAGAAAGACTGCCAATCACAATCCTACCACAGGCAGGTATTTTCCTGAGGGCATTTAAGGGAACACAGTCCAAGTCATGTGCAATGGTTTTTAAAGACTGATAATTTGGGACTGGAGAGATCACTTAGCAGTTAGGAGCACTGGCTGCACCTTCCAGAAGACTCCCGTTTGATTCCCTGTACTGAAATGACAGCTCACAACAACCTGTAACTTTAGTCCCAGGAGACCCGACATCCTCATCTGTGGTGTACAGACATACATGCAGGCGGGACACAGACAGGCAAACAAATATATGTTTTAAGATAGCTGAACACTTCTGATAGTCCCATCAAGGGATTAACCATGTGTACTGGTTAATTTTACGTCAACTTGACACAAGCCAAAATCATCTGAAAGGAGGGACCCTAAATTGAGAAAATGCCTCCAGAAGATCAGGCTGTAGGCAAGCCTGCAGGGCATTTTCTTAATTAGGAACTGATGGGTGAGGACCTAGTCCATTGGGGTGGTCCTGAGTTCTATAAGGAAGCAGACTGAGCAAGCCATGGGCAGCAAACCAGTAAGCAGCACCCCTCCATGGTCTCTGAATCAGGTTCCTGCCATTTGAGTTCCTGTCCTGACCTTCTTCAATGATAAACAATTATGCAGAAATATGATCAGAATTTGTTCTTTCCTCCCCAACTTTCCTTCGATCCCGGTGTTCCATCACAGCAATAGAAACCCTAACTAAGACACCTTGACTGATCCTACTTAGCTCCCCAGTAGTTTACTTTCCCAACGTGAGCAATGGGTTTGATAACAACATGTGGTTTTGTACCATCTGGCTGAGTGAGCGAGGACCCCTGGGCATGTGTGATTGATTCCGTGTGAAGGCAGAAGCTGTCAGCGATGACTGAGGCACACTGTGAGGAGGAGGTGCTCCTGGTGCTGTTTCAACTCTGTAAAACCCAGATCATTTCTGCTGTGGAAACCCTCCCAGCCCCACTGTGGTAAATCTGTTAGAGAAGATTTTCTGATGATAAACAGTTTGAAGGTTCTGAGCAGAGCTTCAGGAGGGAAGCTGTCCTTCTCATGAGGCTGCTCGGAATAAGGCCATGCCAATGATGCATTAAAACCTGTGTCTCTCTGAAGCCGTGGAGAAGTCCAACACACATTGCGTGATTTTATGCATAAATGAAATTCTTTACGTGAATCAAAATTATTCTCGGAGGGAAATCACATGCAAATTTATATTTTTAAAAATCCCCCACTAGTGATCACGGAAACACGCTAGTGATCTGCTCTCACGTCAACATAGCTACCCTCATATCTTGCATTGACAGCACAAGAGTCGTAATCTACTCTTTGGTGTTTTTTTTTTTTTTTGGTAACTTTAAACAGTTCAATGAAATGTTAAATCTCAAGCTCAATACTTCTTAATGGAACCCATTCTTTGTATGGCAAAGGATTCTGAAACATGATTTTGCGTAGTGAGCAGCTGATTGGAGCCCCATCCCAATGGTTCTGCCTCAAAGGAGAGTTGGGCTCCAGGATCTGCATTTTAAGGTCAGTGATCGGACTGATGACACTTCACACAGATGCTGCTGATTGCCTTTGCTTCCGGAGCAGGCACTGTAATAGGGACCAATAGTTCTGCAGTCCTTTCTTTGAGTTTCCCATAAACAACACTAATTATCCTCTTGTCTATAAGTGAACTGCCTCTTTGTCCTCCATACACATATGTCTTATGTGGCCTTAGCTGGGCAGTGGTTTGCGCATGCCTTTAATCCCGCACTTGGGAAGCAGAGGCAGGCAGATCTTTGTGAGTGTGAGGCCAACCTGGTCTATAAGAGCTAGTTCCAGGAAGGCTCCAAAGCTACAGAGAAACCCTGTCTCAAAAAACCAAACCAAACAAACAAACACACAAACAAAAACAAACAAGCAAAAAATTTCTTATGTGGCCCTATGTTTCCTGCATAGTCTTTTTTTTTTATTTTGGTCCTTTTTTGGGAAGGAAGAGTCTATTTAAGTTTACAGTTCCAAGCAGCAGTCCATTATTGTGGGAAAATCATGACAAAAAGAACTTCACAGCTCATCACATCACATTAGGATCAAGAACAGGGAAAGCGAATACACACGTGTTTACCTATACTCAGTCCGTTCTCTATATTTACACAACCCTTGATCCCTGACAAGGAATGGTGCTGCCCAGAGTGGGCTGGGTCTGTGCATATCAACATCAGTCATCAAGATAATTCCCCTTAGACATGCCCATCGGCTATCCTGATCTAAACAATGACTCATTGAGGATCTCTTCCCAGACAGCTCAAGACTGTGACAAGTTAAGGATTAAAAGCAATCATCAAGAACGTGTAGACCGAGTCGTCACCCAGCCATAGAGGAAGCAAGATGAGACTGCCTCCAAAAAAAAAGGTACCAAGCCACCCAGAAACAGAGGAAGCCAGACACAGAGCAAGCAAGATGTGACTGCCTCGCCGAAAAAGATAAGTGTACATCCTATCTCTCCACAAAGAGACTTCTCTTTACAACAGAGAATATTACAGAAACTAAAACACAGAAAACATGATTGTGGTGGTGTCACT